ATTTCTCAATCCGCTTTTGAGTTGAGGATTAAAGCTAGGGAGGAATGAAAAATAATTTCATGACTCCTTTAATTTAAGCGGATTACAATAAGAATATAAATGCAAAGGGGGGGGGGGTGGTTATTTTGTGAGTAGGCTGCTCTGTTAATCTTTGAGGATGTCACCTTCAGCTGGGTCATTGGGTGGTTAGTTCCTGCCTCAGCGGCACTGTAGCGTGAGTGCGCTTGTAACGGCGCGGAAGGTGCTGCGGCACCACTTACCCAATTAGAGAACCACAAGCAGCAGGAAAACAGGGGAATAAAAGGCAGTTTTATGGTACTCTTCAAACATATGATTTCGGAACTATTCTTTTCAAAAGAAATATAATTAAAACGGCGGTCGTAACACAGAGCTTCGCATAAGTCAACGGAGCGGTGCTGGCGGGGCCGGAGAACTTCAGGAGAAGGCGGCAGTGTCGCCCTCTACTAGCAGCCACAGGAAGAGCAACCTCTCCGGACTCTGGTTACCATGAGCTCTTAAAAAACATGTCTTTAGCATAAAAAAAAAACACTTCTTTTTAAGGAATTTTTATTGGAGATCGGTACAAAAGAGCAGGCACGTGATGTTTTCTTTTTTTTTTTTATTTAGTTTACAAGGTTTTGAGGCACAATTGATATTGTTTTTATCAACCACGTCTCACCGGTGGTTTTAGGTAGCGCGTCCCGACCTGGGCGCGTGTTGACTTCGATAGTTATCCGCGGCGCGTCCACTTGGAAGACGGGGTTGGCATCAAACATTGTTTTGTGTAGAGCATGCATCACATGTGACCTTGTAACATTGTAAAAACTCGCAATGGTGTCAAATAAATTTTGCTTACCCTGAAATCCCTTCCGCCGTGTATGTTTCGGCGCCGATATGGCCGATGAAGGCCAAAATAAACGAGAAATAGTTGACGCTTTCGAATGCGATGCTCCTGACCCAATACAAGTATCCGTGCAATTCTCCGACTGGCCGATCTGTACGGATCGGTGCTACTTGTGGGGGTAGGTTCTATGGTAGTTTACTAACTAAATTCAAGTAACGTTGGCTCTACACTTCTCCGCGATGAGCTGCCCGTAATAGTTGCCAAAATGCTGCCTAAGTGTTTGTGAGACAAGTGAGGAACACCCGCAAAACTATGCCGCGCAGCTGTGGCATGCGACAAACTCTAACAACAGAAGCAAGACGTTGTTGCCCCGATCATGGGGAAGCACTGTCGCGAGGAGCGCTGCCTCGTCATGCAGTGCAAATGTTGAGAAGATGCATGCGGCAACAGTGGGCAAAAACGGATGTACAGCTGCAGTCCCGTTGTGGCGCGCAACTTCTGCAACAAACAATGGTGCCCAGTGTTTCCGCAACATTTCCTTGAAACATTTCCTAACCTAACCTAGCGCAAAACTGTTGTGTCCTACGGTTGGAACACTTTTGGAAAGACATGTTTGGCGACTGCATTCTGGCAGTATAAATGCAAACTGTTTTTGAATTTGCCATGGGTACAGTTTGCTGACTGTAAAAACGGACGTTGCGATGACTGTTTGTAAGCTTTGCTTGGCAAAAGCAAAAAAAAAAAAAAAAGTTACGTTACCACAACATTTTGGAATCAAAGTGCACGACGCTACCGCAACATCAGTGGAAATGTAGCAAAATAGCAGTTCCGTAATCTCGCAAATGCAAACGTGACGTTGTTGGCGGAGCTTGTGTTGCGTGATAATGTTTCGCCTACAGTTGCGCTGGTCTTTTCCAGAATATTTAGCAACATCAGGACAGCACACATTTTCCTAGATAAAAGTGATGCTTCGGTAACTGTTGCGAGCATGAAACAGTCAACGGTTGACCGACACAGTTGCCGCAGTGCTTTAGGAACAAACACTTCTGCAGTGTTATGACTGCTGCTACAACATTGTTACGCGATTGCAATAAAACTGGTTTCATGTTGCGCGCCTTTGTTGCGCAGACTATCTCCACAACATAAATTGTTACCTGGGTTAGCAGGGAAATTTTACGATCGTGACGTCACACGTGACGCCACTCCACTAGGCAGTGGAGTGGCGTCACTTTTATCTATTATGTACTTATTTATTTGCTTTGCAAACTTGCTAATCAGCCAACAAGCAAGCATATTACGATCTATCATGCTCACCGGCACAACAATTTACGGGACCCATGCGGATGCAAGGGTGGCTCCGTTTTATTTCATTCATTTGGGACGCTGTCAGTTCAACTAAGCCAAGGCAGGGGATGTCGACAACCTGCGTTTATTACTTAGCATAACGAGCGAGACGGTCGAGACAAATTAATTACATGCTGAACTGTTCATTATAACGAAACGTCATCGGCTCATTTTCTCAAGTTCACGTGAGGTTGCTGCAGATTAACTCGTCAACTTCGTCAACTGCATTTCTGTTTTGAACGTCTCGCGCGGTTAATCTTTATGCTTTACTCAATGTCGACCTGCTGCGCTCATCAGGCTCTTACCACAAAAAACAAGCAAACACGAAAAAAAAAAAAAAAAGATTACGCATTTGCGCGAGAGCATTTCATTCCTTGACAGTATTAAAAAAAATCGTATACAAATTTGTTTTAGTACGGAGCTCGCGGAGCTCACATATTTTGTGGATGTTATCTTTAAGTCGTAAAATATATTTAAGGGGTACAATGCATAAGTAGCTATCTATTTGTGTTTGTTTTGCTTCCCGAGGTGCGGGAGGCAAAACAAACACAAATCAAAATCAAAAAGCATATCGCGTTTCCCTCTTTTGAAGTTTTATTAATATCAACCTTTGAAGTCCCAAATGTAAAAACAAAACCTACCAACAAACAAGAAACAGGTGGCTTTGTAACATCGATTTACCCAATCTTGGGTACTGGCCTCCAAGAATGCAAACACCAAGTGTAAGGTTGTTGTGAACATGCTCATTTTTGGTGCGTCTTTTTGGCACGCTGTCTGAAAAAAATCCCTCCGATAGGGTTGTGGTTGAGACATACAAGCGGCGGCCGACTCAAGTATCTTTTTGTCCATACCTTTCTTATCAAAAACAAATATGGGAGCGGTGACTTAATGACAATCTTTAGGCCTGCAAAGCTCAGAGAAACAATGGCTCGATTAACGAATAATGTCGCACGTTACGATAGCATGACTAAAACGGCCGTATGAGGTTTCATACTTAGTAAGATAAGAGGAAATCACTATTTACTTGTCATGCGATAATACCCCATGAGGCAGTGATATAAAATGTTGTCTTTGTCATACTCAAAAAAGAAAATAAAAAATAAACAAAACACGTTATCGTGTTTTGTTTAGCAGTTTTTTGCAGTTTTTTGTCACGCTAAGCAGTTTTTTGTCACGCTTGCGATAAACTATCCCGGTGAGGTTTGATTGAACAGCCGCAGAAGCGATCATAATTCTTTCGTAAACTCTCAAAATTTCTCGCGTTTATGTGTACAAGATTTGAGAACCGTTTGTTTGTTATACTAAAGCGTTGCAAATTTGGCCTCAGCCATATCCGGCTCCTTCCTCTATCTTTTTGAAAATAATTTCTTGCGCATTTCAATGCCGTATAAGGCATGTTTAATGCAATTATTTATATTATATGCAAGTAACAAAAAAAAGATAATTACACCCTATGCAATGGATGATGGGCTCTTAAAGTAAATAAATTTCCAAAAATATTTAGAACGAGTATTCCATCTGCCTTTTCAAACCTCCTTCGCTTGCATATCCTTTCTCGCGAATGAACGATATGTTTTCTAGCCGCAAAAGGCCGCTTTAAATCGTTATAAATAAAACGCTCGTCAAGCGATTAATGGCCGGAAACCTTTGGTATTTGTTTTCAAAGGTAAGCGAAAAACATTTCTATATTCTTGGACCATAGCCTCCTAATTAAACCTTTCATGAGCGTATGCACGAAACTGCACCCCGAATTTCGCCAGTGTCAATGGCTGACATCAATAGTTGCTGCGTGACGTCACAAAACGCAAAGGTCTGTCGGATGGTCGGGATAAAAAGCGTAGAGGAGGCTATGCTTGGACGCGTGCATGAAAACGACCGGATATGGTGTGAAAACATCATATCAGCCCGGTACAAAACTAAGTGCACGTGAAACAGATACTTTACATGTGTTAGTAAAATGGCAATTTACTGGGTTAAAGGAAGACAATGGCAATCGGCTAGAAATGCGTTTTTGTTTTGTTTTTAGCTCTGGTCCGCAGTACAAACGAACGTGCTCTTAGACTTACCATTATAACTTTTTCTTCTTAAGCTTGGCAGTTGCGTGGAACATTTCATCAGGCAGCCTCCACATCCTCATTGAAACAAAGCGTGTGGTAGGCTGCGTTAAATATGTGTATACAGTTATCGTACGACGCCCCCTATATTATTCCCATTGCGTGGAAGATACCTTAAACCGAATAATCGCAATTCAATAGAGGAACCATTAAAGGCGATCATCTAAGCAGACGCACTGTATAACTTGAAGTTACATTTGTCGGCTGCGGACGTCGGTTCGGATTTCGCAACAACATCATACAAATATTAAAGCACAACAACCTAAAGATAATGTAGGCTAAACGTCGATCGGCCCGTCTGTTCTGCTCCTCGAGCGAGAGCGGCCACAACTTTTCCTGCACATCCATAAAGAAAACAAGAACATATATGACAACGAAATCGGGCGGTCATTTCAAGTGGTCAACCGACCCCTCCGTTTCCTTCAATATGTGCACGCCTCGACTCGGCCTACCTTCCGCCACATTATCCCAGAGCACATCCGTGTATCGTTCGAGACACTCCTTGGTCTGCTCTGCCAGGCGATCGAAGCTGCCCACACAACACGAAGAGAGGCTGCTACGTAACAACGTCCGCAACAGCCCACGGCTTCTGGCGCCTCACGTAACGTCCTCCACGCTTCCAGGTACAGGAAGCGCGTATAGTAGCGACCACGGGCAGCGCCGGCCGCTCTGTGGCAGGCTGACGACGTGTACACGTACTAGCGACGACGACGCCGTCTGAGGTACGTGTCCTCCAGGAAGTCCAGCATGTAGATGTAACCGACGGCGTACAGCTTCTTCCTGTTCTTCAGGTTGAGAGGCGGATACTCGGCGTCCGCCTTGTACACCTTCAGCGTGGGCTCGGCTTCGGCTTCTGTGAGGAGATCCTCCTCGAGACCGAGGGCCGCGTTTCTGCCAGGATAGGCTGGGTACGAGGGCATGTGCAGGAACGGGTTGTAGTTGTGCCGGAAGCTGGAGCTCTGGGCCGCCAGCCGGTCCAGCCTGGTCGGAGCCCCCAACAAGACCAGGGGTTCTGGGTGAAACTGGTGGTGACGGTGGTGATGATGGTGATGCAGCGCAACCGGGAGATGTTGCACGTTCACAAAGGCGGTCTGCGCCGCCGTGGTTCGGAGCAGAGGCGACAGCTGACCACTTGAGATGAGCGCCGGGACGTGATGACTCGTCTCCCGGTGGATCTGGTAGCCGAAAGAAGAGGAGAGGGGGGACGCAGGGGCTGCATGGTGATGGTTGCCGTGGCCGAGTTTGAGGGTGGGGTGGTGGATCACTACGAAGGTTTGAACCTCCTGTCGGGCAGGGAAGAGGGAAGGGCGGCCAGGTGAGGAATGAGGGTTTTCGGAGGGACGGCATACTCTGAATTTCACCTCCAGTCCGACCGCAGTCAAAGCTACGATTCGATGATGCCAACCGGGCAGCACCGAAGATATATCATCGTGGCGTTCGTCGTTTTTGCGCGTCTGCTGTCATCGGCTAAACCAGCCACGCATGATGACTCTGGCGTGATCCTGCACTTCTTTTTGTGTTTGATTCGCTTAGTCGCTCTAAGCAAACGTACAACATCGACGAGCGCTATGACGATGCTCTTTTGACGCCGCTTGATTGGTCCCATTGGATCGTAACGTTGGCTCCGATCGGACCTAATAGGCAGCTTTAGGGAACGGTTTGCACACCCGATACGGTATACGATGGTCACTCCGGTGCGCACTGCGCATGCGCTAGCGCAGAAGACTCGCGCATGCGCAGTCCGTACCGGAGGGCCCGTCGTACGGTGTCGAACGTGCAAAAGCGGTTCTCGAAAGCTCTCTAAAATGACAGTGTTGTTGGCGTTACGGAAAAATAAAGTAGCGAAACACGTTACTCGTTGCTTGCAAATAAAAGGAACGCCAACCGACCCACGTTACCACAAAATAGAAAGGTACACGTGACCGCGTTATCGTCACTGATATAAAGTAACGCACGCCACGTTTGCGTTACATTGTTTTTTTTAATTATGAAGTAGCACGTTTTGCTTTTTTGACGTTACATGTATGCATAAGCGCCATATTTCAAGAAACATTACATCCACGCAAAAACTGAGTATAACTACCTTTTTTTTACGATTTCACCCAAATACTATCAGAAAAAGAAAACGAAAAAAAAAAAAAACTCTAAAATTCATATGGCTTAGCGCCCAGAAACACGAAAAAAATTGAAGAGTAATTTATTTAAGCCTTGGAAAGAAAGAATATAGTAACGTGGAACGTTACTACGTTATCCGTTACTCGAAATAGGTAATGTAAGTACGTTACCCGTTGTTGTTTTGAAAATGTAACGTGTACGTCAACCGTTACCAAAAAAAAAGGAACGCGTTACGGGTAACGCCGTTACTTGTAACGCGTTCCCTCCAACACTACTTAATGAGGAACAGAGTATGGCAATGAAAATAATGGTCTAGACAAGATAAACAGGTATTTAGAAGACACGTTGACGGAAAAAGAAATAAACAATGATAGAAAAAAAAACTATTGAAACGCTTATTCCCACGTAATAAGTCATTTGATGAATTATTCTTCATAGTTCTGTCGAACTGCTATGCACATGATCACAGTTTTCGACCAGAGCGTAAACGTCGGCATGTTGATTTCTAGAACAAGATCGGTTACATATTTCTTTCCATTCGTGAACGCATCATGTAATTACTGTTTATGCTCTGCTTTCACATACTCTTGTTTACTCACCGATGCTGACCAGACCAAGATGTGTATGGGTGGTCGCTGCATTAAGCGGGTAGCCGTATTAAATGAGACGTCTTTGATATTCGACTGCTTTTACTCTCACACAACTAACGATGAGGCGTTCACATATGCGTATTCGTAAGCATGCATGTTAGTTCTGTTTGCATTCGCGAACATCACACAAACTAACTTATTTCTGCTGTATTGCCACAAGGAATGATTTTCAAACAATGAATGGATGTTTAATATAAGTCGCAGCTACATTTATATAACTTAGTCTCAAGGTGTTATTTGAGGTGAGAAGCTCGCTAGGGTCGCTTCTGCTTTCCTCATTATGGGTCGTGCACGTGCTACCCTCGTGGTTATGTTTTCATTTTCATAGTGCATACAAGCTTGACACTGCACGTGCTTGCACCAGCAGAGGAAGTTAAGGCTGCGGTCCCACGGCAGCCATCTTGAACAAGGCGTTAGTTCAACCAATAGATGGCGACACGCACCCGTGGGGTGGCCGAAACATTGGTTCACAGTGGGATGGCTCGAGCACCATCACGTTCCCCTCGTGGCCTTGCTCGCGCCGCTGCCAGCTGTGCTCAGCTAGCTCAAGTAGCGTGGCCCACCAAACGGATGTATGCGAGAATGTCAGGCTGGGTATAAATTGTTGTCTGATATAGGGAGATGCGGTCGGCGGTTGTAACGTGCTTTCGCAATAAATCTTACCAAGAAGGAATCAAATGTTGATTGACGTGTCAATATTCTATCAATGAAAATTTCCTCTGCAGGAATGCACGCTCAGTAGACTCAACCAGTGGAAGCGGACGTCTAGTAAACTGCTTCGCGATTTACGGTACTTACCTCACCATTTTAATGACGACTAAAATAACGTCACGAAATATTGTGTTTCACGGGGTCCGGAAGATGTTGTAAAGGTTGTTACATTATAGTTCCCGGAAAACAAACGCCGTTGCAATATTTTCGGAAGTACCGACACACATTATGTTGTAAGTACAGCTTAGGGAAACCATCAGAAGAAATAGGAAGACGTTTATTTGCAATGAAGACGCTATGAATGAACGGCGTTTAGCGACGGCAAGTTATGAGCGTTCGGGAATTTATAAGTTGACGTGATTGCTAACCATGGACATGCGGACAATGAAGACCAGTTTTGTCGGGAGATGGTGTTGTGGTGATGACCGGATATCGGACGACTCATGGCAGACGAACAAGCAAGTTTCTTCTCAGCGATTGGTAAGTGTCCAGTTTCAAGCACAACACGTGGCTACCGACGTTGTCGACGTTTCGAACACTTACCGCTTTCGACAAAAGTCCTGGCACCTGGGCTAACTTTGTGGAAAGACTCGAACAGTAACTGAAAACGATCCACTATTCAGTCGGTGGGTGGCGAAACGTATCCACATCTGCGGAGTCATGTACGATGCGTACTCTAATTGGCTGGAAGTTTACACGATGTCTGCCACGACGTCCAAACACGCCATTGACGTTCTACGGTCTCTTTTACCTACTTTTGCCCTACCGAAAATACTTTTCTCTGATAACGCGCCAAATCTTGCTTCAAATAAAATAAACAAGTTTTTGAAGAAGAAAAAAACGGCATCAGGCATCACATTAGTGCACCATACCATCCTGCAACTAACGGGCAAGCAGAATAGATGGTGTGCGAAACGAAAAAAAAAAAAAAATCCCTTTTGAAGCTTACGGAAGAAGCAGTTCAGTGAAGAACCGCCAGGTTCTTGTTCCGGCAGCACGCGTCGGTCTCATCTTACACGGAAAAGAACCCGCCGAAGCAATATTCGGCGGAAGAATAGCCACACCCCTCGATCTCATGGTACTATCGCTTACGAACAAAGATCGAGAGATACCCACATCGGGAGTAATGGCAGTTTATTCGGTCGGACAACTCGTCTACGTGAGGAATTTCAGCGGAAGTCTGGCCTTCCATGTAAAACTTGAGTAGAAAAGGCTCTATGTTGGTTGACCAGGAGGTGTCATCTCTCTGAATAGGTTGGATATCAATCACAAACCTTTCTTTGTGTATTGTGTGACTGCCCTTGTATTTGATATTAGAAGCTACGGTGGTGATCTGGACCTTTTACACCAGACTCCTTTTTCTTATTTTTCGCCTCATACTCCTTTGCGGTTTAAGTATGCTTCAAGAATCTTTTGGAACGGAGACACTTTACATCAACGAGGCCATTTGTTCCAAGTAGTCAATCAGGGAATGCTGCTAGAAATCCGTCCCTCATATTAACGAATGAGCCGCGCTTCTGCACAGTGCAGTTTTCCTGTTCCACGTACAGTTGTAAAGCAACATCCTCATTGATTCTACCATATACTGTTGCGGGTGAAGAAAGTCTTTGGGTACACGATACTTGAAACAAGTCTGGCACTGTACGTTGTGGTTCAACACCCATTAATGTCGTCGTCCTTATAGAGCCTCATCATTTAATCATTACCTCGTCACCTCATATTGCTCTTCATCAACAGTAAGTACAATAGGCTACCGCCACATTACAATCCAAGAATTGAAAAATTAAGTCGTTCAGTCCTTCAACCAGTTTATAATTTATATAATGTTATTACGTTACATTACCTCGAGACGATCGACGTCCATTGTCGGTCTTCAAATACTTATACCTGTATATAAATTAGACGCACAAGGGGGGGTTGGTTGCCGAGTGCATGGTCTAGCGCACACCAGCTCGGAGCACTGGGAGCGAAAGCTCGCGTTGCAGAACCCACCCCGCCCCTGCCCGTTTCGATCTGGAAGAGCATCGTACCGGCGTGCGGTCGTGCATCACTACTGCGTGGCGCACGTTGAAGACCCCAGGTTTTCGGTTGTACCGCACTGGCTAAATTGCTCATCTACAGCTGAGACACCAGACGCCCACTAAGGCAGACTAACTTCCGGCTGAATAAACATACACACAACAATTTGCAATTAGACGCATAATAACAAAGAACACAATGTGCCGCCTCTTTTCTTTGGATGCCTTTTTTTCTAAACCAGCGCAAGCTCGTGCGTTCTCTCTTTTGAGACGGTTAGAACGGTCGCGTATAAAACCCGCGTTTCTCCTACCCGCCCGCTTCCTCCTCTCATTATGTGTATTTGGTTATAACTAAATAAGCTATAATAATGGTGTATTATTCATATTTACTTTCAGTTTCAGTCAGGGAAAAGGAGTTTCGCGGCAACTAGAGCCAATAAATGAGCGGCGCTTAGAGTATCGGCACTCTCTTCCCCGACAGTGTTGTGAACGCCGCCATTTTGGTGCTTGTGCAGAGCAGGCGCAACTGCCGATCGTCATGATTCAAAAGTGCGACATCGTCAGCATTAGATTCGGTGTTAGGAAGCTCATGTAATGTTGCTTTGCTTTGTCGCAAACTGTTTAAAGTGGGGGACGGAAAAGCGTTTCTTGTGATTTCAGATAAAGCTTCAAATAACTGGCAACCATAACTTTAAGCCATACTAAGGCCAAGCGTAGCTACTCTGAAGCGTAGCTTATTTAATAACACTATTCATGCTCTTGTTCAAGAGGCTTGTAATACCTAGGGTGCCTCAATGTCCTTCTGTTTAGGGTGATGCCACCCTCTGTAGTACCCGATGCCGACAGCACGCGCTCACGGGGAAAATACAAAGAAATCGACGAAAACAAAATGTCGCCATAGCACAATCAGCGCCACGAGCGCGTGCAGGGACACGCTCTTTCACGCGCTTCTGAACAAAAAATAAAAATAAAAGAGGGGGACAAAATGGCCAGATGTCGTGCTCCACCCTATGCAAAGGGCACATGAAGTGCTCCACCCAGTAATACCTGGAGGGGCCATATCGTAAGCCCCGTGGATTCCACAAGCCACTACCTTTTGACACCTGCCTCTTCTTCATTGTTCCCGCTTGTGCCAGTAAATTAGCTACGGTTCAGAGTAACGACACTTGGTCATATTGTGGCTTAAAATCATGGTTGCCAGTTATACGAAGCTTTATCTAAAATCACAGGAAATGCTTTTCCCTCCCTCACAAATGTTTAAACAACCCGCGACAGAGCATTGCAATATTGCATCAGCTTCCTAGCACCGCACCTAATGCTGAGGAAGTCGTACTTTTAGATCACGATGATCGGCAGTTGCGTTTGCTCTGAGCAAGACCCAAAATGGCGGCGCCCAAAACAATTTTGGAGAACGGAGTGCCGATACTTTAAGGCTCATTTAGTGACTCTAGGCATAAAGTGAACTCGGGTGTATTCTTTTCCTCTTCGTCTTCATTGTTTATAGATTTCAATCATATCGAATAATGAACACATTATATCACGCTACGCTTGTGTAAATATTGGTCTTAGATTTATTAGCCTGACCCAGTACTTAAACCATTCAGTTATCGATAGTAAATCTTCCAATATATTTTTTAAATGTGAGGGTAAAAAGACACGGAGATTGATGATGATACAGACGCCAACGCCGCCCTCGGAAATTTTTTGAACATTAGAAATCAACAGTTTGTCTGCCATCCGCCAGGTAGCGCAACAAAACACCCAAACAGTTTTTAATTGTTTTTAAAATTAGCTAAGCTCTACACCTATTAAGAAACCAAAGCAATATCATTGTGAAAATTTAATACATCGCAATGTATATCTATTCCAAACTACAAATGTTATTAAATGCCAATAAATCTGTTTGATGTCCAAAACAGATATGCGTCAAAAACAGGTAAGTTTGAAGGGCTCCTGGAGCGTTATGACTTTGAAAATGAAAAAAAGCCATCGTCCACCTCTTGGGCAACCATTGTAGCTCTAAATGTTATAAAAGATTTTATCATAGTTTAATTATTTCTTCAGCGGCATTTGAACTACCATGACACGAAGCACAAAAAAGTGCTACGTTTGATATAAAATATCTAAACAAAAAAAAATTTACACAACATTAAATTTTTTTTTGCATATTACCAATTATAAGCACTACATCTGTAGCTAATTTCATTGCCCTAGCTCTTGTCATTAAAAACATATTTGTGCGGAAAAATGTCAATTTTAGGG